TCAATTTGTATAATCCGTTTCACAAGGTGGAGTGCTAAAGTGTGGGAAGATGTGAAGACTAATTAGGAAACTGTTGTTTAGTCTAATGAGAGAATAGCAGAATATGAATATGAATAATAGTCCACATAGTCTCTTAGCTACATTTCAAAATCCAAGAATCTCTGAAAAATGAAAATATTTTTGCATCATTCCTGGTGGTAAAGTATGAACTGACATGAAATGATTTGGTGGCAGTTCATGTACTGAAGTGTCATGAAGCTATTTTACCCATTATTTTTTCACTTAGAATAAATATTTACATGCGGGAGTCCAGCTCCTGCCGGGTTCAGGGTACCCCAAAGGTGGAGACGGCGTCGGTGATTGTGAGAAAGAGAAAGAGAGAGAAAAAGAGAGAAAGACTTGGACAACTGTTCAGATTTGAGCAGAAGTCATTTATTGCGAGTAGTAGTGAGCTTATATTTCTCTCTACAAGGGAAATAATCTCTGCAAGTTACCACCACAGAGCAAGTTAAAATCATCATTACAAAACAAATCACTTACAACAAATTACATGGATTTTTTGTGATGGTAAAATGATGCTTAAGTTTAAGTATTCTTCTCGGTGTTTGGCTAATGTTCTCTCTAAGGGTGGAGACTATTTCTACCCAAAACAACATTATCCCAACATAATGATGCTACCCTGTAAAAAACAGTCCCCACAACCTGTTAATATAAAATCTTAAAATTATAAAGCTTTTTATTAGACAACTCTACTTAAAACAAAACTTATATCCCAAATTAACTAATATATATTATAATCTTTCTAACAAATCTAACTTTATATAAACTTAACTTCCTATATTCAAGCTATCTAGGAAAACAAGTTTTTCCATAATAAAGTCTTTGGGGGCCAGAACAGCAGTTTCTGACCCAAGGTTTTGGAGCAGTTCATATGTAGAATACTTCCATCTGGCGGAAGAATGTGCACCTGGAGATCCTCCAGAAGTGCCTGCGCAGATGTTCCTTTTTTCATGGACAAGTTGTTTCTTCTTAAAAACTCTCTGGTCTTTCAAGCCCCTTGGTAGTTTCCTCTTGTTCGAATTCCTTTATTATTTTCCTATCTGGAACATCCTATCTCTAAGCAAAAAACAGTTTAGAAGAAACTTCTAGTGATGTTATTCAGGCTTCAAGGTAGTTTCGGTTGCTAGATAAAATCTTTTTTACTCACTTAAGTTCTACATCTAAACTCTTTAACTTTTGATATACTAAAACTTTAATATGTATCTCAAACCCCTATGAACAAACTTATAAATCACCTACATACACCTTAATATAAACTTTCACTACACTTAAATTTTATGCCTTGTATTCAAACACCATAACTATAACTATAAATAATCATTCAACTTGACCATGGCATGGGCAAAAGGGAAAAGTCAAACAACATAGTGGGAAGTGGAAAAATGGGCAATGAGTTTCCAGTAGCTGAAAATACTTCCATAAACGGGCTGTTTTCTTCTTTTCCAACTGCATGGAATTCTTTGGCCGTAACAGCATAGGCAAAAAGCAGCAGGGCCTCAGCTTCCCAGACTCTCCCTGCGGCCCGGGGTCACCAGGACCTTGTTAATCAGATGGGCCTCCAAGGCTGACTCCCAACATTTACACTTCTAATTGCAGAAATAATAATACTTTTAAGAACATTTGCAGCCGGGCTCGGTGTCTCAGCCTGTAATCCCAGCACTTTGGGAGACCAAGGTGAGTGGATTGCCTGAGCCTGCGAGTTCGAGACCCATCTGGGCAACTTGGCGAGACCTCATCTCTATAATAAATCAAAAAATTAGCCGGGCGTGGTAGTGCATGCCTGTAGTTCCAGCTATTTGGAAGGCTGAGGCGGAAGGTCGCCAGAGCCCAGCAGGTCGAGGCTGCGGTGGCCGGGAGAGGCCACTGCACTCTAGTCTGGGTGACAGAGTGAGACTCCAACTCAAAAAAAAGAACATTTGCTCAAAAAAAAAAAAAGAACATCTGGTCACTGAAGCATGTTGTCTTTCTAAAATCTGAAAGTTTTTAAAATCTGAAATTTGATATCTGACCCTTAAGAATTATGATTAAAGATTGGAAACTTGTTGTAAGTAGTGAGAATGGACATGGAGGGGGGAGAGAAAGGACGTTAGGGTTATAATCAATGAACTTTGGCTATCATAAGGTCTTGGGAATTGAGGAGCTAAGTAATATGAAGGAATATTTTAGATTTTTAATTCAGGTTAAGGGTTAGAGGTTAGTATTAATAATGTCCCAAGAGGAAGCATGATTTTCACCTGAGGTGAGCGGTCTAGAGATAAAATCCATTCTATTTTGCAGATTGATTTCAGCTTTCTGTGATATATGCAAATAAGGATTATTATCCAGTTGAATATTTTATTCACATTTCTTGTATCTGCCATTCATAGATATTAAATAGATTTCTTAAATGAAAAGAGTACAGATGCTAAACATGTATTAATTTATTTAGCTAGGACAGGGGCTTCATTTTATTTAATTCAATGCACTCTTTTTACAATAATTTTTTGGCAATCCTTTTTCTACCTTGGAATGAAATTCAGAGTACATGTAATTATCTATACATATACATTTAAATAGTTAGTATCCTTTCCTAATTGCAATATGAAGGTGAAACAAAAGTGAAATAATAATAAGCATATTTTTCAATATATAAATGACAAGGCATGAATACACAAGAAAACACAATGGAAAAAGGTATTTTCACCAATAACTGTGTGCCAGCCACTGATACTGACTGACACTGGTAATGTAAAGTATTCAGCTATCTTGAACATGTATCAATGACTCACATGCAATGCTAAACACAATAAAGTAATTTTTGTCTTAATTTACACTACAGTTACATGCCTAGATAATTCAGTATACACTAAAACAGTACAAAACATGTTAACGCTTAAAATTGTCACCATTAATAGTATATATACTTCTAGTTCCAAGGGCTGATGGACACTGCAAACTTTTAACTAGTTTAGAAAAAAAGCATAAGTAATTACAAAAATGACTACCTGAAATATATGAACCTTGACCTTCATTCCAGTTTTCAGTGATTAATATTGTTTTTGAAAAATTAGCCAGTGCAACGAAGTCTTCCTAGCCATTCTCCTCCAAACTCAGATGCACAGATTTATTAAGAAAAAGAGAAGGGAAGGAACCTACATTTTTTTGTAACTTTTTTTTAACTGTTGAAGGAAAATGAGATGGGATATTTTTGACATATCACACAGGCATCACATTTTCCACATTTCCCTACTGAAAGAAATATGATTTGTGAATTATAGTGAAGAAAAATTAATAATTGCATGCATCATTGCATATATGGTAATCAGACATTCCAAATTTTGTTACAGTTGAATTTTTCAAAAATTCTATGTTATATCTCAATAAATGTACATATTTTTCTCAGAGCATATGCTCCAATTTTTATTTGAAATGTATGGATCCCCTATGTATTGCTATCATATGATTCTGGAGTAATAACAATCTGTGTTTAGCAATTTTGTCACTCTATTCACAGATTGAGCATACATACTCAAAAATTATTTTGAAATATATTAAAATGACAGTTTAAAGGCACTGTTCTTTTGCGAATCTTCTGTACACTTTCTGCATTCAAAATTGTATTTAGAATCAGCTTGCCTTTCCTGAAAAACACAAAATATAATGATTATGTATTAAAAGATGTTTAAAGATCATTATAATATATTTACAATTAGCAGATAAAGGGGTAGAGAGCAAGAGAGATTGATTATTAGGAGAACCTTGTAATTTTTTGAAGAAAATCTTGACATATAATCATAATATACAAAGTTTATTTCATAAAATGTAAAAGAAAAAATAAAAAAAGAAATGAAAGCAAAAGAAAGTATAACAGACTTTTTTCATATGCTCAATTATAAAAACAGGGCAGGGCTAAGGTCAATCTTTGGAGCATTTGCTAAACCATTTCTCTAGTAATCTTTCCTTGTTTCTTCATAAGTTATACAGTATATGCATTCATTTTACAGATAAGGCTTCAAATCTTATATTCATTAATTTAGCTAAAACTGCTGTTTTCTGCTGAAGAATATGTATTTTCTTAGAACTTTAAACCCTGTCTTTATCTCAAATGTCTACTTGGGAAGGTAACTTCTGTTTTTCCAAACTAAGCAATATTTAACCACTTCTCTAAAAATGACTTCTGTGAAAAATGGACTATTGGGTTTCTGTGTCATTCCTGCATGACAGTCATTCGTGGCTGAGTAGCATCATTCCTTTCAGATGTGACCTGCACCCTCCCCTGTGCTCTCATCTCTAGCATTCTCTATTGTTCTTATGTCATTGGGTTTTAGTTGCCATTTATTATGTTTTCTTGATGGCTCTTATTATCTTTTGAGTCTATGATGTTGAAGTCTAAAATTTTTAGCATTGATTTTTATTGATTGATATTATTGTGATTTTCATAGTATATCTATTATTTCTATGATAGACAAATTATCTATCATATATTTTTATAATGAGTTTCTATGATTTGTGCTGTGTCATTATGAACTTGATAAATCAGTGCTTTAACAGTCAGTAATGTGGTATTTTATACCACAGAATTATCAGAACTAAAGCAGACTTCATAAAGTATTTGAAGTGTATTCTTCAGACTGCACCTCAAACCTATCTACAACTCATCTCTTTGTATAGATGAGGCATAGGAAGATTAAGAATTTTACTAAAAGTTCCCAGTTTTGTTTAAACAGCATTAGGGCTAGACCCTCCTTCCCACCCCAGTCATTTAATCCATATTCTAGCACTGTCTCTTACGAAACATATTTCCTGGGGATAAAATTGCACATGTACAATCATTTCTAAAACAAGTATGTTTATAGTGAGAATTTTGAATTTTTATTATTATGTCAATATTATTTTAAATATTTAAAAATATTGCTCTTTCAAGGTAAATTATTCTAATTTACCTATTTTATTTCAAACAGATCATGTTGTTTGTGAAGAAGAGTTTAAATACGCCATGTTAGCTTTAAACTGTATATGCCCAGCAACATCTACACTTATTACACTACTGGTTCATACCTCTAGAGGGCAGTAAGTATATTTTTTCTTTAAGATAACATTATAAATTATATTTTAAAAATAAATGAAGTTATGTGGTGTAGAATATAGCTAGATATATGTAGAAATATAGCTAGATATGTACCTAAATTTGTATTTGTGTAAGTTACCTTCCGTCTGATGTTAAGCACAGACATGTTAAAGGGTCCTAGACATATAGAAAATTGAGTTATTTGCTTTCTTTTCCTAGTAATCTTGAGATAAATTGTTGCATCTTAAATTCTAATTGTCTGCATCATTTGTTAGGCTTAGGGTTAGGGCATAATTTCTATTTTTAAATTAATACTTATGCAGCAAATGAATATTTTAAAAAGTCCAATAATCATTAGTATAAGATCTTAAAGTTGTTTTTTTTTTCATTTTCTGAGGTAAATTTTGATCTTAAAACTTTATGTACATTATTGATCTCAAATTGTAATTTTATGATTATTAAGGAATAATAAAGTAACTGCATAAAATTAGTAAATGTAGCATAAATCACATTTAATGTGCATTTCAAAGTAGATGAAGGTAATATCATCAGGACCATTTCTGTTCTTGTTTGTTTATTTTGATAACATTTCACAAAATATAGACTTTGACTTAGAGGATCGAGGAAAATATAAGCAGCGAACATAGTCACTGCTCTTATTTAGAGGCAAATATTGTACTGCATTTCATATCTTTTTATATTTCTAGCTTTATATTTCAGACAAAATGTTGATTTTCTAAGTAGGTTCTACTGTGTATTAGTGGCTATAATTATTTAAATTTAGCAAGTTGACTGATGGTTTTTTTTTTTGAGTTGGAGTCTCACTCTGTCGCCCCAGACTGGAGTGCAGTGGCCGTTCCCGGCCACCGCAGCCTCGGCCTGCTGGGCTCCAGCGATCCTTCCGCCTCCGCCTTCCCAGTAGCCGGAACTACAGGCGTGCGCCACCACGCTCGGCTGATTTTTTGATTTATTGTAGAGATGAGGTCTCGCCAAGTTGCCCAGGCGTGTCTCGAACCCGCGGGCTCAGGCAATCCACTCACCTCAGCCTCCCAAAGGCGCGGGATTACAGGCTGAGCCACTGAGCCCGGCTGACTGATGGTTTTTAAGTGAAGCACCAAGTCAAATAAATCCAGGAAAATGAAAATTCTATTTTGGTATTTAATTCTAGATGGAGTAAGTTACTAATTTTAAAATAGTAATTGCCCAGTGGTATTTTAAAGTTGGTTTTACTGCCTTAACTCTAATTACTTAATTGGGATAGTAAGAGTTTCCCAGAAGCAACGTTTTCAAAGTTCTGAATAAACACATTTTTATTCTGGATATGTATAAGAATTTAATCTGTGTAATGGGAAAACAATGCAACAAACAGGATTATGAATGTTTTTTTCTTTGCAGAAAGAACTTGGCATTTTGATGTAATACTATAAATGATTTTGATACAATTAGATGAACATTCATAGAACTAGTTAAATGTGTGGGGTTTTTTGCCATATTATCTTTATACAGAATCATACAACCATAATGCTGAATATCTAGTCTATTGTTACACACATAAATGATAAAATAAGACCCATCAGCACTATTTAACCCAGATCATTTCTCATAGATTGAAGTTAAATTACATTGTGTAACTTCTTAGCAAATATTATGTATTGAAACACAGTATTGTGGGAAAAAAATTTTCCTTGACATAAGTTGAAGGAATTTCAATGATCTTTAGAATAAGGTTTTTCTTAATATACTTCAGTGAATTTTGCCTTATAAAAAAGAAAACAATGTTGTTGTAAACATTACCTTATAACTAAGGATTTTCTATGAATAACATTGTCCTGTAAAATTATTCCACAGAAAATGCTATAGTTTACCATAAACATTTTTGTAGCAGTTTTATTAAGATTTAATTTATATGTTATGCAGTTCACCGACTTCAAGTATGCAATTCTCTGGTTTTTAGTATATTCATAGAATTTTTCAACTATAATTACTATCTAATTCCAGAACCTATAAAGAAACCCTCTATTCTTTAGCAGTCATGCTACATTACTCACAAATCATTTTCACCCTAGGCAACCAGTAATCTACTTCTGTTTCCATAGATTTGCCTATTCTGGACATTTCATATAAATGAAATCATATAATATGTGTTGGTTGTGCTTCTTTTACTTGGCATGATGTTTTCAAGGTTCACTCATATTATAATATGTTCCAGTTCTTCATTTCATTTTTATAACTGAGTAATATTCAACTGGATATATCACATTTTATTTTTGCATTCATCAGTTGATGGGTATGTGGGTTATTTATAACACTGGGAATAATGCTGCTGTTAACAGTTGTGTAAAGGTTCTGGTATGGGTGTACATTTTCATTTCTCTTGGGTCTACATCTAGGAATGGAATGGGTGGGTCATATGGTCACTCTGTTTAGCCTTTTTTAGGAACTGTCAGAATGTCTTCCAAACATGCTGCAATATTTTGATTTCTACCAGAAATGTCTCAAAGTTCTACTTTCTTTACATCTTCAGCAACATTTATTATTATCTATCTGCCTTTTTAACATAGCCATCCTAGTGGGTGTGATGTTCCATTGTGGCTTTGATTTGTATTTCACTGATGGCAAATAATATTAAGTATTATATTTTGAGTTTATTGGCTAATCACATATCTTATTTCAATTTAGACCCTCTGCCCATTTTTGTTTTTCTTTGATTATTAAATTGTAAGAGATATTTATATATTCTAGATACAAGTACCTTCTCAGATATGTATCAAACAGATCACTTAATTGAAGATGTATAATATATTTTATTAAGAATATTGCTTGACTAAAATGATTTGAATCACATTCTCTGTATATGCATTTGATTTATACTCAAGATCCCCTTATAAATTGAATATGCTTGTAATTTCGCCTTTGAGCATTAGCAAAAATTAAAAAGCTTAAATATATCCATTTAATAATAAGAACAAACCTGTAAGCTGAATTTAATACTATAAGGAAAAACAATGTTTAACAATGGTCTTGTTCGCAGTATGTCTTTTTTTCTTTTTTGAGTCGGAGTCTCACTCGGTCACCCAGACTGGAGTGCAGCGGCCGCTCCCGGCCACCACAGCCTCAACCCGCTGGACTCCAGTGATCTTTCCGCCTCAGCCTTCCGAGTAGCCGGAATTACAGGCGTGCGCCACCATGCCCCGCTGATTTTTTGATTTATTGTAGAAGTGAGGTCTCGCTGCCCAGGCGGGTCTCGAACCCGCGGACTCAGGCCATCCACTCACCTCAGCCTCCCAAAGCGCGGGATTACAGGCTGAGCCACCGAGCCTGGCTGCAGTATGTCTTACTATTAATTAAATTGGCATCTTGGTTTATTTAGCGATCTTGTTAAAAAGATAAACATAAGTTTACTCTTTAGACAAAAAACACAACAAAACGCTGTTGAACACAGACCGTGATGATGTCCACAGTGAAATGCCAGTTTATCAGGTCATTTTGCAGACATTCAACTGATCCATCTTGATGATATTTCATCCTTATCAAAATTTAAAAAAATTAGCTATTAATTTTTTGTCTTTCAATTTTCTTTTTCTTTTCTTTTCTTTTTTTTTTCTTTTTTTTTTTTTTTTTTGAGTTGGAGTCTCACTCCGTCGCCCAGACTGGAGTGCAGTGGCCGCTCCTGACCACCGCAGCCTCGCCTGCTGGGCTCCGGCGATCCTCCCGCCTCAGCCTCCCGAGTAGCCGGAGTTACAGGCATGCGCTACCATGTCCGACTGATTTTTTTGATTTATTTTAGAGATGAGGTCTCGCCAAGTTGCCTGGGCGGGTCTCGAACCATCGGACTCACGCAATCCACTCACCTTGGTCTCCCAAAGCGCGGGATTACAGGCTGAGCCACTGAGCCCGGCTTCTCTTTCAATTTTTTAACGAAAATATTAAATTCATCTCATCTAAGAAGGAATAGTTTTGATCTCTTGATAATCAAGGGAAAAGAAAAAGAAAGAGTTGGTAAGAAAATACTGCAAATTTAGAATTTATAGATCTTGGCCACTGATGAGATGAGTTTAGTGGGGGGAAAAAAAAGAAGAAAAAAGGGAAATCTCTAATATCCTTACACTTTGATCCTGGACAGTAAAAAATTATGAGACACATAGTTTGTCAGGAGGAAAAAATGAGTTTGATATAGATTGGCTATATTTGCTTTCTAATTCAGGTATAACTGATGGTGGGAATTGCTGCCAGTCTTGGCTCTCGAGGAAGGATCGTGTTAGTCAAGCTTGTGGAAGTGGAAGTAGAAGTAGTAAGGATTTGGGAAAAATGACAACTTGAGACTTCCTTGGGAACTTATTACTTTTGGGAAACAGATGGAAGAAAAGTGAAGCAAATATAGTATAGCCTTAAAAAAGAGTAAGTGTTTACAAGAATAATTGGATAGTTAGCAGTGTAGATGGTTTTGGAGAGATTGAGACTGAGCAGACACTTCTAGGTCACTGGTCTCTGGGGACCTCGGAAAAACTGTTTGGACTATAAAGACTTTCTCATTTTGAGAAAGAATAAACAAAAAAGCATGATAAGGAAGTGAAGTCTGGTGGGAGACTGTTACTGCGTTAGGTTTGTTTATGAATCTAATAAAGAAAAAAATAAACGCTCTTTTGCTCGGAAATATTGAGGAAAGCTTTTTCATTATATGTTTAACTTTATTTATTTATTCTTTCTGAGTGGGAGTCTCATTCCGTCGCCCAGACTGGAGTGCAGTGGCATGCTCCCTGTCACCGCAGCCTCGACCTGCTGGGCTCCAGCGATCCTTCCACCTCAGCCTTCCAAGTGGCTGGAACTACACGCGCGTGCTACCACGCCCAGCTAGCCTTTTTTTTTTTTTTTTTGATTTATTGTAGAGATGAAGCCTCGCCAAGTTGCCCAGGCGGGTCTCGAACCCGTTGGCTCAGACAATCCACTCACCTCGGCCTCCCAAAGCGCGGGATTACAGGCTGAGCCACCAAACCCGGCCTGT